TAAATAAGAATAAATAAGAATAAATAAGGATAATTGACAATTAATTGACAGTTAATAGATTGATGATATATACTTGTTTATACTGATTTAATGGGTTCTCATGACAACTTCGAGCGACCAATCTGATGAATTGTCCTTCGGCGTCAAGTTTTACAGATTTTAATTCTCTGGCTTTGTAATTAGCTCGTTCATTACTATCTAAAGCACAATATCTAGATATATTGAATAAATTGGAAATATTAATGATTGATGAAATATAATCAGTGAAAGAAGTAATAATTGATGAAATATAATTGGTAAAGAAATAATAATTGATATCAAATCATTGATATTAAATATTTGATATCAAATCATTGATATTAAATCATTGATATTAAATATTTGATATTAAATATTTGATATTAAATATTTGATATTAAGATCAATACCAATTTAATAATATATATAATATATAATAATAATAATAATCGTAGCTTTATTATTATTATTATATTATATTATTTTTAACTAAATATTGCTTGTTAATATTAACAGTAATTATTTTTGTTAATATTTAAAAACCAATTATTTTGTTAACAAGAATTATTTTGTTAACAACCAATTATTTTTAACAATTATTTTGTTAACAACAATTATTTTTAACAATAATATATAGATAATAGATACCCTAATAGTCGGAAGTGTATATAAGGTTCACCACTTGATTTTATGAGATCATAATCATCAGTTACATAATCATCCTCAATTTCACCATCCACAGAATTTATTCCATCAGTATCAATAATTTTTGGTAATTTATCCCAAGAAAAAGTCCGTTTTTCATCAATACTATCATCACTATCGCTAGTATTTGATGATACTTTTTGTTGTATTGAGCCTATATATATTTCTAATTTTGAAGCAATTTTGTAATGATGTGATAATATCTGTAGTTTACGAACACGGGCAGTCCCATCGGTTACTCGTAATATGATTTCTTGAGGATATGTACAACGTCTAACCAAAGATTAAAAAAATAATAAAATATAAATAAAGAATATAATAATATAATAAAGAATATAATAAAAACTATAATAAAAACTATAATAAAATTATATATATATATAATTATATATTAATATACAATACCTTTTTGATTGCCATCCTTTGCCATGTTTAGTACCATTAACATCAGTATTATTATCATTTGGTAATAGCTGACGAGGATGATAATTATCATCCCAGCCGGTAACGTATATAACATCAAAATTAAGATTTTGTAGATGAGACATTGAAGAAGAGGAATTCTTTGATGAATTCAATAATTGGATAGAATCGTCGTATAAAGCAGGATTATAAGAAAAAAAATTATGAAACGATTGATTCGAAGGATTAATTAATTCGTCGGTAGCTCCTTTCTTATGATGAACAGTCCCTTCCGGATAGCTATCAGAATAGCTTATCACGGAAACAGAATTGTTGGCAATAGTCGAAGGATGATTAGGAGGAAGAGGAGATAGTAATAAACGTTCCGTAATAGATTCGACAAGAATAGGTACTTCCTTGGTTGATGAAGTAACAATAACTTGATCAGTATCGGTGATTTCAGTAGAGATAAATTCGATTGTAGAGGAAGAATCTTCCTGGGATAATTCTTGAGATAACTCTTGAGATGATTCTTCAGAGAATTCTTCTGATAATTCTTCAGATAACTCTTGAGATAACTCTTGAGAGAATTCTTCAGATAATTCTTCTGATAGCTCTTGAGAAGAGGAAGTATGCACACTGTGTTTTTCGGACATGATCAAGAAAATTTGAAATATTGAATATTGGAAATTGGATATTGGATATTTAATAATTAACTGATGTAATAATGATAAAAATTCAGATGGCAAATTCGAATGACGAATTCAAAATGACGAAGTCAAAAAAGATAGATGAAAACAAATTTGTTTT